TTCCCCTGCTCACATAAAAGCCTTGCATGTACAGGCAGTGCCAGCCTCATTTGCTACCTGAGTGGTCATTTTGTATTGCTAGATTTAAGGCAATAATTTAATAACCAGATCTCATTTGGGCTAAAGGATTTCTTAAGTGGAGAGCTGACCAGCTCATCTATGATGGCTCAGACAAGCAGATATAGCCTGCTTTGAATTTTCTTGCCATTATTTTTGATATCAACTAGCTCATGAAGCTTTTTCCCTGATGATTTTACAGTATTTTAATTCGAAGTCCACTTTTGGTGGATGGAACAAATTCCAGAAGTGATGCACACCATTACATGTGCAGTTTGTAGCTCAGATTTTAGGGTGGAATAGCATGAACACAAATGTTCCTTTATTTTCAAGCAGAGTTGCCTTCTTCCTTCTTCCTACAGCAAGAATAAGTCCTAGGAAGAAATTTCTGCAGCTGTATTTAAAAGGCACATAAAAGTCTGTACAAGCAAACTTTTATTTGCCCCAAGATGAGACATAGAAGTTCAAGGTGAGTAATTAATTTACTGAAAGTTTCAGGGAATGGTCCAATTTGCAGCTGACCCATGTGTGGCCTTCTGTTGTGAGAAAGGGAGTTGCCTTGTGGAAAGACCTTTCCTTTGGAAAAATACCCTGATAAACACCAGGATGACACATCAGGGGTGTAAAGATAATAATCTCTGTCCTTGCATTAAGGGATTTCACAGTCTGATTTTTTTTATCTGAAGAATTTCACTGTGCTGTGTAAAAAGGTTGGGCAAATGAGGATCTTGGTGCTGTAGATCTGTCAAGGGTATGACAGAATTGTGATGGCTGAGTAGACAGACAAAGCTGTTGGGATTTTGGAGACATCCATGTTTTCATTGTAGTGACCCACTTTTTAGTGGTTTGAGTAGCTATAAAAGTGGATTTTTCTTTTTTTTTTTTCTAGTGTGCCACTGGGCCTAGAAGTATAAGAAAGTACAGAAAACTATCTTTTAAATCTTGTTAGTTTTTCATAACACAGTTCTGTTGTCGTCCTAGTTGAGTGCTGGTTTCAAGGTGTGGAAAAATTTTAAAAATTAGTCTATTCAAAGTGATGTTAAACTTGTGATCACCTGTTCAGTATTATTTGATGTGTTTAATGCCAATGTTGAGCTTGATTTTTTTTTTTTTTTTCACTGACTAGATTTCAGATCCCTCCTCATAAATCAAATTGCCTCCTCTGTAGCTAAAGTGTTGAAATAACATTACTCAGATAAAGCTGTTTTGTGGCAAACAGGTGATTCAGAGAACTACACCTGTGCTGATCTCATAACAAAGCTAATTAATCTTTTTGAATTAAATGCCCTTTAAAATTCAGCATGATAAAGATTAGAAGACTTATAAAAATGATTACTTTTAAAGGGCACTGTTCTAACAAAGTAAATTTTTACTAGAGTGTTCTTGCAAGGGAGTGAGTGAGCAGAGCAACCCAGGATGCTAATCATTTGTTTATATACTACAGCTGCAGAAAATGAGAAATTAAATGAACAGTTTAAGGAGAAGAGCACTGAGAAAGGGATGCTTGGGACAGCTCAGGAATGTAATTTGGATGCTAATTTTTCAACTTCAGGTTCTATTTTAGGTGTGCCAACATCTGAGCTCTCTGAAAACCTGAAAATGTGGCGAGGGGCTACATCTAGATTGCTGCTGGTTTGGGCTCTGCAAGTAAAAGCAAGAGAATTGCAGGCTTCCTGTGTTTTGTTGTTTATCTTTTTATTCAGGACAGGGAATCCATAGGAGGATGAGGTCTGGAAGGTGCAGTATTGATCAGTCTGTTCATGGAGCTGAGGGTAAATGGAGTATTGAGGCTATAGAAAAAGAACAAAGGGAAGGTTAGGCCAGCCCTCCTTGGCAGCAGCGCTGGCTGGATGCCTTTTAGAAGCAGCCCCTGTTGTCATGGAGCTCCCGAACCCAAGGCCGGGCTCTGGCACCGTGATTTTCTCATGGCAAAACAGCGTTGGCCTGTCCTAGCCTTGGGGGGGAATAAATGCAGGCAGTAGCCTTGGCAGCACTTGTCTATTATTGCAGCTCAGTGACTGAACAGAGTGAGACCAGGACCAAAGGAAAACTTTTTCTTCACAGAGATTCCTAGTTTGTTTTTTTTTTTATTTTTTTTTAAAGTCTGGCATCTACCCAGGTCTGCAAAATATCTCTTATAAGGTGGCATTTGACATTTGGAGAAGGATTTTGAATAGTTCATGTAGAACAGGCTTTCCTCTGAGTCAGCAATGTTTTGAGGTTGAGATAGAGACCTGAATTCCTAATCTCAAGGGTTTTGGAAGGGCTGATTAGTTTTCAAACCTCATTTTCCTCTTCTAAACTTTAGATTATGGTCAAACTGTTCAACACACCTATTTGTAATTTCTTGAACTGGTCAATAATTTACAAAACAAGATATTCATTGTGTTATTTGGCATTGATTATGTTAGTTTACCTCTGTTGCTTTACTGAGCTTTTTGGTGTCTTAGAAGGTGCTCTTTTGCTTGCACAGAAATATTAATGCATGACTTTATGGACAAAAAAGTATATTCCATGCTTAAAGAGATTTTTCAAAATTTTTTTTTATCCTTTGGTAGTTCCAGTGCCTGAAGTTTAAAAATTTGCTTGTTCTTACTGTTATTTTGTGAATGTACTGAAACATAAAAAGAAGCAATGGTGGAAGAGGTTTGGTGTTTCCACGGGAGGAAAGCAGTGAGCCTGTGTGCTTTTATTTCTTTGACTTATTTTTAAGTGTAGGAAATGACAGTTCCCCCATGTCAGAAAGCACCTCAAGAAAAACTTTTCTGCTGGGTAAAGTCTTTGTGGCAGAGAATTTGCCTTTCAGGTCCATCCTTAAGAGTCAACTCTGGTTTGGTACCTCCTGATTAATATTATTTCCAAATTTTCAGGCATCTAGTGAACAAAATCTCTGCATTTTTGAGTATTGCTTAGTAATTTCTGCTGCTTCACCCCCCTCCCCTGTTTGTGCTTTGCTGTTGGGTCGAGGATTTGGAAGTCTTGGAGGCAAGTTCAGATCAGCCTTACTGAGAGGGCCCCAGGCTGGGATGCTGCAACTGGAGTGACTCTGCTGCTGGCAGTCACCAGCCCTGAAGCTGAGTTATTTTCTGTCCCTGCAATGTCCCTGAGCAGTGCTCAGGCTGCCCCCGAGGAGGGATCCGTGTGGGAGCTCCCTGTGCAGTGGGATTGCTCATCCTTGGTGCAGAACCCCCGAGCAGGGCTGGAATGACCCCTCGGGGCTGCCATTCCAGGGTTTGTTTGCTCCTCATCCTCGGGAGTAGCCACAGAGCTGCAAGAATAATGATTGGATAAGAAAGGAACCCTGGGAGCCACAGCTTGGAGTTTAGAGTAGGTTTGGAGCCCTTCTCTACAAGCCCTTGGGTGGTGGAGTTGTGAACACCAGGTATCTATGCAGAACTGGTTATTTTCTCTCTGTTTACTCTGTTTACTCTGTTTACTCTTACTAAAGCATCATCAAACTCCAAAAGAAGACAGACTTCTTCCAAGCTTGTTCCTGCACTGCAGTTTTGTGTTGTTTTCTTTGTTCTTTCCATAGCATCCCTTACAAATGGTAGTGACATGTGTATAGGTTTGTGTGTAGGCTTAATATCAGAGCCAAAACAAAAAAAAAAATCCGAAAAATCTAAATGTTGAGATGTTGTATTTAAATATTCTCTTGAGGTTGGTTTTACCTAGAAATTAGTGCCAAAAGAAAAATATCTCTTGATTATGACAGTCCAGTGTGTGTTATCTGATAGTGAATGAAACTTCCATGTAGTCCTTTGTCTTCTCAATTTAATAATGTGCATTTCAACATCTGTTTGAATCTGGTAGAATCACCTTCCCTGGAAGTGTCCAAAAAACGTGTGGATGTGTCACTTGGAGACATGGTTTAGTGGTGGGCTTGGCAATGATTGGATTCACTCATCTTAATCCAACCTGAAGCAACTCTGTGGTTCTGTGGTGTATTTCTCAGCGTTGTTGAGACCATAATGAAGTCCTAATTCTCCTGTTTGTGTTAACACTAACCCTTGCAATCTGTGAGAGTGCAGGAAGATTCAGGGGCTGTAACTATGGGAGGGTATGAAGAGTGCTTTGCTTCAGCATGAGGAACATTTGGTTTTTGACAGTTCTGAAATTAGTAATTATAGCCTGTCTTGATTTTTTTTTTTTTTTTTTTACTCATTAAACTAATTTCTTAATTACTAGAAAACGCATTCTGTCTTCAAGATTCTGCACTGTATTTTTTATAACAAGGTGACTGAATTGCTGCTTTAACTCCGAGTTTTGACTTTAATTATGGAATTGTATGTAGTTCTTGCAAAAGAATTAAAACAGTTCCAGAGCAGTGCGGTGAAGGAGAGATGTGGCTCTGATCACAATCACCATAATTTAGGCCTTTTCCTTTCAGCTTTGCTTATGAGAAAAGTTTGTATTTTCCAGGAGGGAAGAGACCACACAGTTTTCCATATGGATTTCTGAATTGATTTTATTTAGTTTGCTGTGATGCTTTGTATTTGAAGGGTTACCCTGATGAGAAAGTGGGAATGGTGGCTGAAGCCACTGAGTCCTCCTGGAAGATCAGGGGAAGGCTTCATTTAAAGACTTGGTGCTTTCCTTCTGAATACAAATGTTGCTAAGCTGGAGTGAACACTTGTGGTCAGCTTTGGTCTCGAAATGGAAAATGGAGTTGTGAGATGTGAAATAGCACTGGAAGGATCAAAAAACATGATGGAGCTTTGGTCAGGGTGCTGTTGATACCAGTGTGTCCCTCTCTGTCTTGGAGCAATTCCTTTTACAAGCAAATATGTGTTCCCTCGAGCCCTTTGGACTTGGCTGTTCTTCTTCCTCTGCATGGCAAAGATGCTTGGATTTACTCTGAAGAACTATTTCCATGGCCACTTGTTAAATTGTTCCTATGTTCTTCTGTTACAACTTCTTTGTTTTTCTATCTTGTTTTGTAGACACAGATGAGGACACGGTGAAAAGATGTTTTGCCACGTTTGAAGAGAAATTCTTCCAAACCTGTGAGAAAGAACTTGCCAAAATCAACATTTTCTATTCAGGTAAGGTGCTTATTTTGTGTGTATTTGTGGAAAAGTCAACAACAGAAAAAGGGCCTGAAGGTCCCAAACTTTCAGGATAACCACAGTGGTGATGCAGGTCTACCATCAGGTAATTAGAGGGCGGGTTTGTTTGGAAAACTGCTCTGGTTTAATCACAGGTCTGGAGCTAAACCCTGGTATTTGGCTGGAGGGAGAATTAAGGGCAGGTGATTTCATTTCTTTGAACTTTCAAGGTATCCTGCTGAACTTTATGGAGATACTCTTAAAACTAAAGGGCACAGTCTCAGCTCATCCATGCTGACAGTCTCCTGGCCAGGTTTTAGGTGTGCTGAGCCTCCTGGCTGGTGTTCCCCGAGCTTCTGCAGGAATAGCTCTCGTGGGCTTGCCTGTGTAGGGGAGCTTGATCATCTTAATGGGTGCAACAAGTTTTTAAACACTGAGCTCTTACTGAAACCCCTGCAGCTTTCTGGACTACAAAAACCAGCAGCAATTGCCATGGGCTGTATATTTTGAGTAAAAATGTTGTGATGGTAAGAGTAGGGATTTTTAGGTGTCATATACCAAGTGGTGCTTTTTGTTGTTTCCTCTGAGAAAGTTGCCTTCTCATCCTGTGTTTTGAAAACAACTTTAGAACGGGTTAATTGGAAACTTACTCTGTAAAACTGCTACAAAAGGCTTGGTGTGCTCTGACTCCTCCTGCCATTACACTTCAGATGATTTTCAGCCTCTTTTGGTGAGGTTTAAAGTGGCATTTCAACTAGAAAAGCATTTAAATGTAGCTGCAGCAATGCATTGGCTTCTATGCTTCCTCTTAACGTGTTGATTTATTAACTTAGTGCTATAAACAGGATTTGCAGCACAATATGGTAGCCTTTTCTAGTTCTGATTTTAATCTGGTAACAAAGGCACAGTTGAATTGTGCAAAATATTTTCATAACCATTGGGTGATGACTTTATTGCTGGCTCTTTTGCTGCCAGCCAGGATCTGGGTTGTGAACTTGAGGAAAGCTGAAAGCATGATAGATGCAGTGGCTAAGCAATGCAGCTTCCCTCTGTTCAGCTTCCATCTAGGGAAGTAAATCTCCTTTGGGCTGGCTGTGCCTGCTCTCCCATCTTCCTGGAGCTGAGTGAGTGTCAGGACAAGAGGCAGGTTTTTAGGTAAAATTTATATTTTTTATTAGGCCAGCTGGGTTTTGCACTTTATAGGCATTTTTCTGCACACAGTTCATACGTACCTAAGTCAGAGCACTGCTCTGTGATGTTTCCCTGGGAAAGATTTTGTGTTTCTATCCCAGATCTGAGGGTTTTATGCTCAGAAACTTCCTTTCTGAGCTGTATCAGATCCTGTGCACTGTGAGGTAGACTGTGTGCAGGAAATTCTGTCAATTTAGATGCACAATGCAGGTTATAATTTTCCCTAATGAGGACCTGCTGCCACACGTGCACCCACATGTATGCACCCATTCCAGCATTGCTTAAATGGCATTAATAACATAGGATAGGGTTGGTTTTTTTCCCCAGCTAGCTGTCATTTCAAGAAGTTCCAGAAGAGAATACATGTAATTTGAAAATCTCCTGTGATAAGATTAAAATAAGTCTTTTATTTGCAGAAGAGCGACGTGACTTTCATAGAATGGAAACCTGTTATTAGGGTTATTAGCACTGAGCTACAGCAAGAAATGTTCCATCAGTGGTTCCTACCCTTGACTGTGTCAGAAATTTGTCACATTGGACCCTATTGTAACTCCAGGCATGTGTTGGCTTGGATTATGACCTGGCACATCCTATTTATTACAGGTTTATTACACAGCCTATTACACCCCTGTCTTTACTACAGTAAATATTGTTCATTTTCATGAAAATCGAGGTTGCTGTTGATCTCTGCTTCATTTCCTCATCATCTTTCCCGAGGCTGAAGGCTCCTCAGTGAGCATGACCCAGGATTGGCACAGCAGCACAAACAGCCTTATCCTCTTGGGATGGCCTGGTCCTGATCCCCAGTTCCTCCACAGAGCCCTCAGAGCTGGAGTGGCTGCTGCAAAAGCCTTTCTTTGCCCTTCCCTGTGTGCTCCCTTCAAACATTGCCTTAATTCCCTAGCCCATTATCCCAGCTCAGTGGAAAGGAAAACTGCCATTAACTAAATCAGATCTGATAAACAATTTCCAATTTTTTTGACTATGCTCAAGAAGATCTATCCCCATCTGAAAGAAAAAAGAATTGCAGTAAAATCTTCAGATGGTTCCAGCAGAGGAATGCCTATTCAAGTGCTAAAGTTTTATCTGTGGCCAGTTTTGGTTTGTGTTTGGGATTTTCTAGATGACAGGTTTGTTATGTTTTAATTCACCATCATCAGGATTTGGCTAAACAGTAGCCAGCAACATTTCCGTGGTTAATTTAGGAATGGTTTTGTTATTTGTAGGAAACCCTGGCTTTAAATTGGTAAGCAAAATATTGAACATAATATGTACAAGTAGGGAAGGGAAGGAATGCTAAAAGGGGCTGCTTAAAATGTGTAGCTGGCAGGAGGTTCAGGCTGTTGATCACCTCCTGTCTGGTGAAAAAGGCTTTGATCACACCCATGCCCATGTAAACTGGAATTTTTGGGGTAATTTTCCTGGGTCTTTACTGCAATAGTCTTTTTTTCCATCATCCTTATTGTGTGAGCTTTCATTTAAACTTGGAAAATTAAGTCAAAAGCCAGCTTGGAACTGCATAGTTGAGGTGATAACTCTTTAGACTCTTTTAGTGAGGATCTAGCAGCATTTTTTGGGCAAAGCTGCTGCTTTCTGGCAAGCACTTTTGTTAAAGTCTGCTGCTGTTGGTTTTGGATTTCTCCTTACTCTTTGCCATGAAATTACACTCAAGCTGAGGGCTCTGTGGGCATCAAATCATTCAAAACGCTGCAACACAAGAGTGGTTCCAGTTTCTAAGCTTTTTTCTAACTCTATTGAGCAACATTTTTAAAGTCACTTTTCAGAATGTTAAATTAGCGGTGGATAGTGCTAAATTAGTGATAGTGGTATATAACTTTTCAATGATTTTGGAGTATGCTGCAAACTGAGAAATTAATTTCTATCCTGCTTTGCTGTTTCCCTGAGCAATTCCCTATGAGGTTTTCAGAACAGCAGCACACATTTTGTTTTGTTTTACTTCTGCATTGAGTCTTCATGGTAAAAAAATCATCTTTAATAAGATGAAATGATTTGTGGATGGCATAGCTGGAGTCAGTGCAGGAGAGAGAAGGTGGTGACAGGATGGCTGTTTCTCAGGAGTGGCATTTTTTATTGATAGCTGTAGTCATAAATATTTCAAAGCATCGTATTTTCTTTAAATATTGTGTTATTGTGTTGGATGTTAGGATGGCTGATGGATGTTAGGATTTTTCTGGACATAGGGACAATGGAACAATGCTTTCAACTGAAAATATAAGTTTAAACTCTTCCATGTCTACTGATTTGATTGAAAAGAATTCTCAGTGTACCAAAGATGGTTTAATAGATGTTGTCAATAATAGAGAGTGAACTTATGAGCTTTATTTATATGGAGGCTTTTGATTTGAACAGATATCTGTTCCTTCTTTCCGAAGTGGGCAGGGATATTATTTTTGCAGTCTGATCTTGTGGTAAATATTATGTGGTTGCAGGCTGTGGGCAGACAATTCTCACTGTGGGCTGCATTGCCTCTGTTTGGTGGAGTCCAGGCAGCTGTGGGAGTTGTCAGAGAGGAATTGCCCTTTCCTGCATTTTAAATCTCCTTCCTTTATTAAAGTTTATAAGCAAGAAATTCAGAGTTTCAGGCTCCTCTGAACTTGATTTCCTGTACTGATCCCCATTTTCTCTTTGGAAAGGCATTCTCCTTCTGGCAAACACCTTCTGCACTGTAAATTTATTTATAGAGTAGTTTTGCTCTTAAAATTAAGCAGAATTGAGTGAGACAAAGGAAAAGTAAATCTTACATCTGAGTGGGGAGTAATTGAGAATTATCACTGGGTTGTTATGTAAGATACTAATGAAGAGAATCACATCGACATCCAGGAGGCTGTTGGGGCACAGCTTTGTGTAGTAGAGGGACCTTGTGTCTCTGTGATTTCTGTGCTGGGTGTCCTGCTGGGTGGAGGTGGCTCCAGCACTGTGAACCTGGCCAGCATCTTCCTGGCCAACACCAACACCCATGGTCTGTGACCCTGCATATCAACAGAGATGCCAAAGTTGTGACTGAAGCCTAGCAGGGGGAAAAAAAGCCTGGAAGGAACCAGTTGTACAGAACAAAGAAAACGATAACAGTCTTAACTATGCTGGTTTTAGCTTTAAAAGATTGTTATTTAGCCAAAAATATTATTTTCTGAGAGCACATAAAGCAGCATGTTTAAAGGAACACCTTCTTCGTACTTGAGGTATGAGGAAGAGAGAGAGAGACTTGTTCTGTAAACACATCAAAATGACATTTAAGTGCAGGCTGGTGGCCTCTTTAACCAGTAAATAACGAGGCAATGCTTCTAAAGTGAGGAAAAGAGGGATAAATTATTACAGCGGATCGTGTACAGCAGCCAGCAGTGTTGTAACTCCTGATCAAAGCAGAGCTGTGTTTGTCTGTCGCTGGGAGCTTGGCAGAGGGGCCGTGCTGCTCTCTGAGTAACAAAATTCAGTGTCACATTTGAAGTGTGGGGTTTGTCTTCTTTGATTTCCCTACTGTCACATGAAAAGATAGTAAACATGTAGTCAGTAGTGGGTGCACAGATCTGAAAAACGCTTTGCTTACTCACTGTCATGTTTCATAATATTGTCTAACAGGATTTTTCTCTAATGCTTCTGGTGCACTTGATTTATTGGGAAAGAGGAGCAGCTTTTCTGTTGTGCTCAGAGCAGACATGTGGTCAGTGCTTTGGTATTTGGATGAGACCCTCTCTGCCTGCCTGCTGCCTCCAGCCAGTGTGGGGACACCTGCCCCGCTGTCCTTGTGCTGGTTTGCTGTCTCTTCCATCCCTAGCAGGTATTTGTGTGCTGCTGGACTGAGCATCCTCTAGAGATCAAAGGTGGGATGGAAGTTGAGAGGTCTCAGTTCCTGGCTACTGCTGCTTTAGTCTGTGCTAAAAAGGCAGCTCCTTGATTTTGACCCTATTAGTTTTTGGTTTTTTTCTTGAGAACTTGTGTGTTCTATGTAGGTTTAATGAGGAAAGCTTCCTCCTCTACTCTGCCCGCATCTGGAGTTCTGCATCCAGGTCCAGGGCTTACAGCACAAGAACTACATGGGCCCATTAGAGAGGGTCCAGAGGACTGGAGCACCTCTGCTCAGATCCGGGCTGGAAAAGCTGGGGCTGTTCAGCCTGGAGAAGAGAAGGCTCCAGAGAGACTTTACAGCCCCTTCCTGTGCCTAAAGGGTGTTAGAGAGCTGGAGAGGGACTTTGGGCAAGGACTTGGAGTGACAGGACAAGGGGGAATGGCTTCACAGTGACAGAGGGCAGGTTTGAATTAGACATGAAGAAGAAATTCTTCCCTGTGAGGGTGCTGAGACCCTAGCCCAGAGAAGGCATGGCTGCCCAATCCTTGGGAGTGTCCAAGGCCAGGTTGAGCAAGGAACAGGTGGGAGGTGTCCCTGCTAATGGCAGGGGGTTGAAATGAGAAGGCCTTTAACTCAAACCAGTCTGTGATTCCCTCCTGGGAAAAGAGAAATGTGCAGATCTGTTGAGTTTAATACGTGATGGGGGAAGGCCATGCAGTACATAGGCACGTTACTTGAGGAACAAGTGCAGTGTTTTTAGGGCTGGCCTGATGCCTCCAGAGGCTATCTGGAACAGAGGCTGAACAATATTAAAGGAATAAAGTAGGGATTTATTAAAAGGCCTTCAAATGATTCACCTTGGGCAGTACAAGAGCCCCACCATGGCTCTGCGCAGGATGGACTCCAAGTCATGAGTTTTCACACTTTTATAAGTTTTGGTCCATTTCCATATTGGGGTTCATTGTCCAATTCCAGCTCCAGGTTCTGCAGTCCCATCCTCCCAGATTCTCTCCTCAATTCCCTGCTGTTTGCACTTTTTGGGGCTGACGGTTCAGCGGTGTCCTTGGTTGTGGGGCTGGAAAAGGATTGTTTTGTGTGAGCTGTGAGGAGAACTCCTAACACTTTGTATGAAGTGCAGAGTCACACCCCAATGCGGTGCAGAATCCGGGAAGCGTAAAAGCCCGATGAAGGCGTTGGGGTGTGCCGTGTGTGACCGTCCCCGGTGTCACTGTTCCCTCTCCGTGCCCGCAGAGAAGCTGGCGGAGGCGCAGCGCCGCTTCACGACCCTGCGCACCGAGCTGCAATCCACCTTGGACGCGCAGAAGGAGGCCAGCGGCGCCTCCGCGCTGCCGCGCCGCCGAAAGCCCGTCTTCCACCTGTCCCACGAGGAGCGTGTCCAGCACAGGAACATCAGAGACCTGAAACTGGCCTTCAGTGAGCTCTACCTCAGCCTCATCCTGCTGCAGAACTACCAGGTACCCGCCGAGAGCGGCGCTGCCGCAGGGCCCCCTCCGCAAAGCTCTCCGCGCTCTGTGCGTCTTTGAGTTGCCTCACTGGGTTTTTCACCTATTTCTTCCTTTTTCGGGGGGCCCCTAAACACTTGTAAAGAAAAGGCAGGCAGCAGTGTACGCCTGATAGCACTTCTAACTCAATTAAAAGCAAAGCTGACCTGCAGAAGGACTTTTCCTCCTTCCTTTTCTGGGCTGGCTGACCCCAGCACCTCTGTCCAGGCAGGACCTCTTCCTTCCATGGAGTGTTGTTCTATGCAGGGCAGGCTGGGGAAGAAGAAGCTCTTTTATCTAATATTTATCCTGAAACTTGAAATCCCAATGTACTGTTTCCTCTTGGCGTTACCATGGTAGTGGCTGTGACCTTGCTGTATCAGAACTTCTTGCAAAAACATCAATTAAAAAAAATATATATTTTGATTTCTGCAGGATACAGGCTCATTTGCCTTGAGGTATGAAAACAAATAAATCTTTAGTTGTACTTGGATTTTTGGCTTGGTAAATATTGCAGATGCTGATCTTGTTCCAAAAATCCTGAAATAAATATCTGTAGCTGCTAATATATTTTTGGCTGGGCTACCTCTTCTGGAGTTAAATGCTCTGAAATGCTTTTAAGTGTTTTACTGTGAGGGGTTTTAGCTTGTTAAATAAGAATGTTGGAGCTTAAATTGACTACATCTGTATTTAGATCTTTGACAGATTTTTACTGCAGAATTTTACTAAACAAAATTCACAGTCAGAATAAATGGAATACCACTCTGCTCTAAGGACAGAACTTATTCTCCTAAAATTCTGACTACTTGTACCTCTCCTACATTGATATTATCTTTGAGCATGTGTCTGGAAACGATGAGTTTCTTAATAAAGCTTTTAAACTATGAGTGGTAGTTTCCAATTCAAATTCCTGGGAAAGGTGGATTATGTGCATCCTTTTAGGAACGGAGTGAAGCAGCATCACCTGCTGTGATTTCTTCACTTATATTTATTTTCTTTTTTAACAGAAGACAGCTATACGTTTAATTACAAAAAATCAATTCTGAGGCTTGATGAAGAATTTAAATAGAGACTGTCATGGGTCATTCCTTTGGGAAGTCTTTTCCTACTATTCCTTGGTGAGGAAAGGCAGGTTGCACACTGATATTTTTGCTTTTTGCTACCAGGAGTCTAGACTCACTGTAAGTCTACTAAATATTGATCTAAATCCCATCTGGTTTTGATAGCTTTCACACTTTGCAGAGGCAGCAGAGCTTATTTCTACAGCATAACTCCAGAGAGAGAATGAGAAAAATTCCTTCAAATTGGTATTGAAGTTGAGGAATACCAAGGAATACAAACACAAAAACAGACATAAAACTAAATCCCAGAGTACTACTGTTGTTAATCACTCTTGAGCTTAGAATATAACAATGAGGAATATTCAAGCTCTTACAGTTTTGAAGAGAAGAAAAAATAACTTGGTGGAGGAATATGTGCCTGAGCCCTTCATGTAGGAGATAGAATGAAATCAGCAGCAGCATTATAAATATCAAACTGGCTTTAATGAAATCCTGATGCCTTGAGTTGGGTTACTGAGGAAGGAAAGAGCACCTGAAGCAAATTCCTCAGTCTCTTAGGGCTGAACAAATGCATTCATTCCTGAGTTACACAAACCAAACATCAAATAAAACTATAAGCAGTCTCTAGGTCAGCTCTTACATGTTTAACTTATCAATGATTATCAACTTCTGATAAAATTAATTTATTGTTACCAGCAAGGTATTATTCTAGAGTGTGTATATACACAAAATAATCTGTTTATTTGAAATGCTGTGTTTTAGGACAAACAAATGCTGAGAAATTAAGCATATAACATTTAGTAAGTTATTGTGTATATAATATAGTGCATTTATTGGGTGAAAATAGAGGCTGAACCAGTTTCATTAAATTACCTTGCTGGTGCATTTCCTGACATATATGAGGAAAGATTTTTGAATCCACCGTTTGATTCTACTTGATGTTGCATTACATTATTGCCTAAGTTGCACTCTTTGCTGTTTGTGGGAGGTTTTGGTTTTTTTATTCCACAAAATACAGCAGAAATGGAGGTCAGCCTTGGAGAAGGCCCCTTGCCAAATAAAAGCAGCAAGAATAGCAAAATATCAGACTGCATAAATGATGTCTGTTCTGTTCCACAGTCCCATCACTGTGTGTTCCTTGTCAGAAGCATCACTATGACCAACAGTGCTTTTTATCATGCACTTGGAGGTTGCAGAATTTTTGCAGCCAGAAGATGAAATGCCACTGGAGAGGTTTTAGGATATCTGGTATAAATATGTCCCAACCACCCAGGGCACCCAAGATTTAGGCTGGGATTGTACCCATGGCAGATGAAGGGATGTTATTTCAGGCCACAGAAAGATCCCTGACCAAAATCATCCTTTTGTTACAGTTTTTCACATGAAATTTCTGCTGTCCTTGGGGTGGAATTCAGGCTTTTCCAATAGAAAGTAATTAAAGTCTCTTGTCTGCAATAAGGCAGGTCATTAAAGCTTTGGCTTCCTGCTCCTCTTTCCCCAGCCTCATTTCCCACCTGGATGGGAGGGTCTGGCATTAAATCACTCGAAGCATAATTACATTGAAAATAATTTCAATGAGTAGTTGGTGCCTCTCCCCAGGGCATTGGATTTTGCCGTTTTTTCTGGTTTTCTTTACAAGCTGCTCTCTAAGCTTTTTTCTGAAGTGAGTCTTGCCACGGTTTCTCTGTGTTTCTGCTGTTGCTTGAATGAAACATTGAGTTTTTTAGGTGGCACTTCCTGCACAATAAAATGCAGGATTGCAAATGCATCATGCCACAGCAATTGCTGCTGTGTGATGAGCTTTGCCTGTCTTAGGTACTGTGCATAGGTGTTGAATCAGGGATCACCTATAACTTGGAAATCAACAGTTGATTCTTGTTTTAAGCATTGTGTGCTTGTCTCTCCAGACTGGAGAGTTACATCTCCAGCCTAAGCTGGTTTTGCAGTCATTATACATCATACTCTGTGAAAAAAACATGCACTTGTCTGGATTATAATCTGCAGCACTGACAACTTTCATACAAAGATTTCCCTTCTGTAATGAATTTAACTGGAGAATTTGATTTGAAACCAGTGTAGTTTAAAGAAGTCAGTAGCTCAGATTCTTCAGGAGGGAAAACCCCTTAAGGGTTCTTTGTCTTCAAGGTAGCATCAGGTCACTTCTTGCATAAAGGAGGAAGGTGGAAGTGATTTGGCTTTTCAGAAGATAAAAAGGTTTATTTTTATAAAAGGTAGCTCCCTTTTTATGCCCTGGAGGCCTACTTTTTTTTTTTTTTTTTTCCCTAGGATTATATATTCCTTATAGTAAAGGAAAAACCCAGAAACCTCCTAACAACAAATGCAATCATTTTGATTCTTATTAACGATTCCTTCCTCACTAGCACTGAAGAGAGACCCATTTCTCTTTGCTGGGAGATGGCTGGGGTTTAAAAGCCAGCCTGTTTTTTCCCTTGTCTGCAGAACCTGAACTTCACCGGCTTCCGCAAGATCCTGAAGAAGCATGACAAGAACCTGGAGACGGCGCGGGGGGCGGAGTGGAGGGTGGCCGAGGTGGAGGTGGCTCCTTTCTACACCTGCAAGAAGATCAACCAGCTTATCTCCGAAACAGAGGTGAAAAGGCTGGCCTGGGCACTGCTCCTCTTCAACTAGCAGAAAAAAAAACCCAACAAAAAACGGGATTTTAGTCACTGCTGGTTTCTGGAAGTGTTGGAGCCCAGGTTGGATGGAGCTCTGAGCAAACTTGTTCTAGAGGAAAGTGCCCCTGCTCATGGCAGGGGGCTGGAACAAGATCTTTAGGTCCCTTCCAGCCCAAACTATTCTATGACACTGTGATTTCCATAGTGTTTTGCCCTCTCTATAGCTTGTATTTACAACCAAGATGGCTAATAATTGATTTTGAAATGCCACTGACTTCTGGCACTGCTTACATAAATATAGGTATGTTCTCTTCAGCTGGTAGTTTTTCCCTTGGCAAAGCCTAGTGGAACCTTAACTTCTGCCATGAAGGAACTCGGTGCAGCATGGTCAGCTTTTCATGTCTTTGTATTAAAAGAGCACTGGGCCAGGGCTCACCTGTTACATGGAAACCAGCCTTTAGTTTTGGTTTTACCACGTGCTCATCCTTCAGATGAACTTCAGTGTCTCTGTCTCCTTAGGAAGTGGTGACCAACGAGTTGGAAGATGGAGACAGACAGAAGGCAATGAAACGTTTGCGTGTTCCACCCTTAGGAGCAGCTCAGGTGAGACATGAGGGCTGTGGAGCAAAGCTGCTCCTCCAACTTGTCAGGGTGCCAAATCAGATTCAACATCTGAACAAAACAGGGGAAATAATTGATGTGAGCATGCATGGGGCAGGGCCAGATAATCTGCTTTAGTTCCGGAAGGTTTGGAAATAGGTTACTACTCCTAATGCATACAGACAAGGTAATGAAGGGAGGAGATAATGGTAAAAGGAAATTTGTGCTAATAAAAGCATATGCTTAGTGTTTGTGTGGTCTGGAATATTTTTCAAGGGTCACTGAGATGCTCAAGCTCTGTTTCAAGATGCCAAGAATATTACACAGCATTTTCAGTTTTAAAAGAAACTCACTTCAAGAGCAAGAGTGCAATCAGAATCAGGGATCAGGAGCTTGTGTTTCTGATTTTAAGTTTGCTCTGCACATTAATCTGACTGTGCTGATAACCTGTTTACCTCACCTTAATTCTGCCATGGCTTTGTTCACAGCCTGTACCAGCCTGGACTACATTCAGGGTTGGATTGTTCTGCGGGTTGTTCATTGCACTGAATGTCACAGTCATACTTTCAGGTAGGTGTCCTGCCATGCCTTGGTTTGGTGTATTCTCCTCACTTAGGGAGGGCCTGGGCCTGGATGCTCTGGGTTAAATCAGAGCCATATCACATTGGTGTGAGCTACTACTTCTGCTCAGCAGTAGGTTGTGGTTTTTTTCTTGTTGTATATGTGCATTTTGAGCACAAAAATCATTTTCTTCTGATTTCCTCCTTATCTTTGGAGGGATATTCTGAGGGTGCAACGTCTATGTGTAAAAACAGATTTTTGTTGTCATTCTGGGAACACACAACCCGTGCCCACCTTGAAATAGGTGCTTGTAGAACTTGAGCTTTGCATGGTATTGACTCCCTAAAGAAAAGACCACCAGACACAGAGCCATGTGACCAGATGCCACTCGGGATGGAAATCGGGAATTCATATGGACATTCCTAGGATTTCAACACTGGAATCTGCTAATGGAATTAACTGGCTTTTTCTTATTGGCAGTTGTTTGTAAAATTGTTTAAAAGCTACAATTAATGGGTGCATCTCTCAGGCCCTGGCTTTATTCTGATTTGTGCCTTCTGAGTTTGGCCCCTGATTAGAGTAAGAGCCACGTTAGTGCTGCAGATCCAGACACAGAGCTTAATCACAAGCAGCTTTACTAATTGTGTGTGTGATTTCTGGAGTGTTGTAACTTGCTTAAGCAGTACAAAGGAAAAGGCTTAACAAATCAACTTACGAGCTCTTATGTTAGGGAAAGCCCATGTCTGTGTTTTTATGACTTAAAAGAATTTTTAATCTGATGTTTCTGTAATTGGATCCAGCCATCTCTTGGGATAAAATGCCTCTGTTTGAGGAGCTGATTGCAGTGTTCCCCGTTTGGTCTTCCCATGGTAGAGGCATGAAGTTGACCTGTCTGCATGAAGGGGTTGTTTAATATGTAGAAACTGTTCTTTATTCATCGTTTCTGTTGCTTAAACGTTTGATCTCTGTGTGAGATGCAAATATGATTGAAGCCAGTTGTGTTTGCTTTCCCTCTCAGTGCTAAGAATGAAAAAGTGACGCAGTTGTGAGAAGGAATTAATAAAAATGATTATATCTCTAAAGCAGGTGTGGGTAACCCAGTGTGGGTAATAGGTGTGTTATGTCAGCAAGCATGATCTGATAGCTGAACGTTACTGCAGATACTGGGCAAAAACCTGGATTCCAAGTGCAAAGTGGGTGTTTTTAATTGGCTCATGCTTTGCTAGCCTCTTGGCTGCTGTTGCCGAATTGTTTCTGTGATTTGATCAGCTAAGATAGGATTTTAGTGTTCTATGAGGAGAATTTGTGAAACAGAACATGGCTTCTGTCAGTAACCCAGTGCTGCACTGCCTGATTTGAAAACCACAGCATCATTTTACAGAGATGAGTTCATCATCACTTGGGGTCTGTTAAAGGCTGCAAAGCTACAAGTGGATCCCAGGAGGGTGTCACCCTAAAGAGGACAAATTCTCTATGGGCTTCCTTAGGTGTCAAGCTAGTGTATAAGTGAGGTTGGAATTTCACAGAAATGTGCATTCACTTTATTAACCAGAAACCTGCAATGTTTCATGCAAAATCTCATGCCCTTACTGTGGTCCTGCTCTTGTTTGAGATTTAGGCTGCCATTAGACTTGTCACCAGGGATATTTTCACTTCTTAGTCAGTATTTTTGGGGCTACTCTGCCCTGTTTGGAGTTTTGACCAGATGACCCTTTGTGGTTCATTCCAACCTTACCCATTTTGTAATTTCCCTTGGTTTTCAGGTAAAAATTTGAAAATATTTTCTTACAATTCCACATTTAAGACTCATTTCTTTCAGCTTTTTTGGGGGTGTGTCATTTCTGTCTAAAAGTTGACTCTGTTTTGCCTGAATCCAAGAGTCTTAAGTTTTAAATTTAAAGCAGCAGTTCTGGAGTCATTGTTTCTTGCACAGCTTTTTCTGTGTAAGTTATGTAGTATAAAGTGTAGATGCTGAACACATGAAATTCCCTGTGGATTTGCTTTCTCTGAGAAAAAGTTTGAAAAACTTGGGGCTGTAATTTAGGCAGATCTGTGGGAATAAATTCTCAGCCTCAATTCTATAAAGTGCACGTTCTTTCTTTTACCCCTCTTAGAAAGCGTGTGGGTGAGAAACTCAATGAAACTAAAACTGAGGGTTGAATAACTGTATTTTATTTATGCTTTTCTCATCGAACCTGTGTCTAGTGACCAGGTGAGACAGTCCTTTGCAAAGAGGTTTATGCTGGAGAAAGCTGCTGCTGGATAAGGATCTTCATTGTTTGAAATGAAGCACATTTGTTTCCAAACCCCTGAAAAGGAAGCAACAGACTTTCCAGCGCTGCTGCCTGGTGCTGGGATTTCTGTTTGGGTGGGGCTGGGTGTTGTAATGCTGGCCATGAATATGTATTGCATTACCATTGTACTGAGTTGGGTGATTAGGAGGGTTTAGCATTGTTTTAAATGCTGTAAATGGTTCCTCTTGGTTTTGTGGGGAACTGAAGTGTTTGTGTATCTGTCTGTTGGGATTTCATCTCTGTATAACTGAATATTTAAGTGCCTCTAGTCAGATTTATGCTGGTGCTGTCCCTTGTGCCTGTAGTGTGAGGCAGGGACGCTGTTAATGACTCGATTACAGCAGCTGGAAAGGGAATTTTCCCTAGAATACTCCTAAATCTTATGACAGGCTAGGCACAAAGTCCTCCACTTGCTGGAACATGCAGTTGTGTACACGTGTACCCTGTTTTCTCAGGGTACAGCCAAACATCTGAGAACCAAGATGAAACCTTGCTTTGTGAGACGACCTCTGTTGTCCCTAAAATCCTTCCTCTTTTTTTTTTTGTCTTTGCCAGGTGTGGCTTTTATAGATGGACCAAATGTGTGGCCACTGGTGAGAATCTATCGAGGTGGCTTTCTCCTGATAGAATTCCTCTTTCTCCTGGGTATCAACACGTATGGCTGGAGACAGGCTGGAGTCAACCACGTCCTCATCTTTGAACTCAATCCCCGAAGCAACTTGTCCCATCAACATCTCTTTGAGGTGAACAGGAGGGGTTTTAGAGTGGCTGAGCCATGCTGGGGATCAGCAGGATAAATCCTGCGCCGTTTCCTGGCAAGGACTCCTAATACAATTAGAAGAGGAAGTTGCTGAAGTCTGATTAGATTACAGGATTGAGCACTGCTCTCCCTTTTCTTCTAATGAGAACACATTGTAGGTTTCAGGGCTGTGTTTTCATTAGGTGTCTGTGTGGTTTTTTTTTTCCTGCAGATTGCTGGTTTCCTGGGCGTTTTGTGGTGCCTGAGCCTGCTGGCATGTATATATGGTAAATTCACCTACATCCCCATGCAGGTGAACCCACTCATCTTGTACGGCTTCATGTTGCTTTTTCTCATCAACCCTACAAAAACCTTATATTACAAGTCCCGTTTTTGGCTGCTCAAACTATTGGTAAGTGTCAAAGGTGGTTGAAATAAATATTTTTTTTTTTAAATGTTGTGGCTGAGCAGTAGCTGTGAAGTGTATACAAGTGTCACTAACCCTCAGGAAAAAGGGATGCTGGGGGATGCTTATACCATGGTGATTCACAGAGCAGACCTGATCAGGTGTTGACTGCAGATAGTTTTTGAGGATGGGTTTGCAGAGGCATATTCTGCCTCCTGTACCAGTTAACTGTCCTATAGATAGCTGCTTACAAACTTTGCACGTGTGGAAAACCTTGGATGTCTTTGCTGTTTATTCCTTAACCTAGTGAAGCAGGTTGATTAGAGGTCCAGTGCTCTAAGGCAAGGCTGCATGGATGCTCCTCAGCACATTTGGGATAGTGCCAACGTTGAGAGGGTTAACTGATGGAGAGAGAGCCTTGGGAAATGTTACTGCCTATAAAATTATGTTCATGGGTGGGGTTTTTCGTTTGCGCTCTTAAACCAACTCTTTGAGACTGAGCTCTTTATTTTCCTGTAAGATAAGTCTGGTAAATTCAATGTAAATATGTGTGCTCCTTCAGTGTTCCAGTTATAGGTGGGAGCTCTGAAAGAACACTTTTCAGACTTGCTGGGTGACTCATGAGTTTGTTCCCAAATGGCTGTTTCATATGCTCTTCCCCACCCTGTGCACCCTTTTAAATTGGCTTTAATCAAGCTGCTTCCCCTGATACCTTCTTCTTGCTGGCACTGCTCGGAGAGCTTTGGGCAGAAGAGGGTTTGGCTGGCTGGTTTTCTTCATAGAATAATTTTAATGCCAATTAAAACAATTAACTTTATCTGGAACACGGCAAAGATGAGACACAGCGTCATGCTTTGAGGCCGTGCGTGCAGGTATACACACAGTGAATTAACCTCTGTGTGCTCACCTCTGTTATTTGATTTGCTGGCTTGCTGCTACCACAGCTTCTTCTTTTGTGCCTTCCAGCATTCAGCCATCCCTCACAGAGGTGCCTTTAGTCCCAAGCCTCATTAGTCTGACTGCTGTCCCCAGGTGCGAGGGGAAGCATTGGATGTGCTTTAGCAACATGAGCAATATCTGTGCTAATTTACCTTAATATCTCACCAGGGTGAGATTCTCAGCCTCCACAGAGCTGCTAGGTTGTTTGCAGCTCCTGCCCTGTCCCAGTGATCTCCAGACTATGCTGCAGTCTGAGGTAGAGTTGTAGGATCATGGAATGGCCTGTGTTGGAAGGGACCTTAAAGATCATTGAGTTCCAACCCCTCTGCCAAAGGCAGGGACATTTTCCATGATCCCCACGTTGCTCTGAGCCCCGTCCAACCTGGCCTTGGACACTCCAGGGATGGGGCAGCCACAGCTTCTCTGGTCCAGGGCCTTACCACCCTCACAGGGAAGAATTTCTTCCTAATATCTAATCTAAACCTACTCTCTATCAGTTTTAAGCCATTCCCCCTTATCCTGTCACTAAATGCCCTTGTAAACACTTTCTACCAAACCTGAGAACTGTGCTCCTCACACAAAATTATGTTTGAGCATTTTTCTTCACATGCTTCATATGTTTCATTTCCAGCCCAAACAAAATCTGACATATCAGGTGTAGCAGAGTATTACTGGCACTTTCCATTTTTCTGGAACCAAATCAAGGGTATTCTTGAGTTGTAGCATTTCCTCATGGATCTAGGAGGCTTCCTGCCTCCTCCTGTGATCAACTGCTTGTTGAGGGTGGGATCTCTTGTGCTAATCCCTGAGGGATGGCAATTGGCACCAGAATTGATCTTCCTCTGAGTGAGAAGTTATTTAGCATGTAGTAAAGTCTAATTCCCCTGCCAGGCTCTGCTTTCTTGCCTGTGTGCTTAGGTGAGCATTCTTTGTGCCTTTGCTGCCAGATGAGAAGCCCCTGAGTGCCCCTGTGTAGGCTGGGGAGAGCAGCTTGCCGGGAGGAATGGGATCCCAGCACAGGGAATGTCTCCGTGCCCACGCTCTCTGCAGGAGCTGAGTGGCCACACGAGAGCAGGGAGCCCGGCTCTGAGAGGTGACAAGCTAGGAAGTGTTCAGCTCAGATATCTGGCATCTCAGCATGAATTAAAAGTGCAGGGATCAGCACCAGGAAGTCTGCGCTCAGGCTGTGGAATTGTTAATAGAGAATTGCAGCTGGTTATTGAAAGTGAGGTGCAGCTCCAGCTTCTGGTGTTTTATGACTTTCTCCTTATCTGGAAGATGTTGCAGACACTTCTCAGCTGGTAAGCGAGGAGGTGGCTGTGGTACCTCCACTGCCAGCACCCCCTGGAATCGGGGCTGCTGCTCCAGCTGTGCCTGGGCAGCAGGCAGAAGCCACAGTGCCTGGCACATGGCACTGGGAGGGTTCAGATGGTGGCTCAGCTTCTGAAGGAAGGCTGACTCAGATGCCAGTGGATGTCGTGGATCTATCTGCTGCCTCCTCCTCAGCTGTAACCTGTAGGTGGAAAACTTCTCCTCTCTTAAAAGTTTGATGCTGTCACCTGGCAGTGCTGAAATACCTCTTCTTAAATTAAATAACAAGAATATTATTATTTCTTGTTTTCTGATCTGTTTTTCTTTTCAGGGACATCTGTCTGTAAATCTGTTTTCACATTTCATTTGCTTAGCTAGTCTTTGTTCATGGACAAAAAAATGGTGTACGATGAAACAGATAAAGATAGTATCAGGGAGTGTTGGGAAGAGGGAGGAAAGAGCTTTTGCAAGGGAAGGCTGGTGTGTGGTCTTTGACCTCTGCAGAAGCTGTTCTGCAGTTGGGCATCTTTGAAGACAGTCCTCCCTAAAGGCTGGCCTTGTTTGATCCTTGGGAATAAGTGCCATCCAACATGAGCATGGAGCATTCTGGGTCAAGATCCATATCTGCTTCATGGCACTAACTCTTAATCCCCTATTTGGCTTTGAAATTTTAGGAGCAGAGCCTTAAATCTGCATTACAGGCTGATGGCAATGTGTCAGTCCTTTCCTGGGCTTCTGAAGCTGTGCACCCCTCAGGTTAATAAGGAGAACAGTATAAAAGATCAGTGTTAGCTTGTGCTTTCATTAATTTAAAGGTTCATAAATCCTGGAATGACCGGATGGCGCTGGTGCTGTCTCTGTGAGAAATTGGCCATTAGTAACTATAACTAACCGGGTAGGGAGGGGGTAATCAAAGGTAATGGAGCAGAAAACTGTCTGCTTTGGAGGGAGCAAACTGCTGTTCAGGCTTAGAGGGAAAGTGGACTGGGATTGAGGAGGAGTCCAGCTGACAGGCAATAGGATTTCTTCTGCCCTTTCTTTAACCCTTTCCCTGCTGGAGGCATTGGCAGACTCGGTAACAATCCTCACTGGCCACAACTTCTAACACCAAAGAACTGCTCGTGAGGTTAAGTAAACCAAGTCTGAGAGTCTAAATCCAAGTGACATTAAGTGTGAGGGGAAAGGTAAGTGTGGAAGATGTCAATAGACACGATGTAAGTGCTGAAAGAAAGTGCTGATCAAAGTGAGGGGCAACGAGAGAAATGGAGCTGTGTAGAGCTCTTAAATGGAGACTGGGACTTTCTGGGAAAGAGCTTGGTTGTAGGAGACTGGGCTGTTCTGCCAGTAAAAAACAAAATGCTGGGTGGGCACAGGCATGTATGCATACAGGAGCAGGAAAGCAGGAATGTTCTTTGTACTGAAAGTGAGGAGACAGTTATCCTTTTTTGTCAGCAGGAGCAAAAGGTCAGCAATAAATCTTCAAGTGTTTCTGTTATTTCCATATTTGTTCAGTTCTGTGATGTGCTGCCACTGCATTTGGATACCTTTGACACAGCCATGAATTATTCCTGCTTTGTTTTTCCTGACAGTTTCGGGTATTCACTGCTCCCTTCCACAAGGTAGGCTTCGCAGATTTCTGGCTGGCTGATCAGCTCAACAGCCTGGTCATGATACTTATGGATTTGGAATACATGATCTGCTTCTACAGCTTTGAGGTTCAGTGGGAGGACAATGCTGGACTTCTGGCAGATACAGGTAGAGTAATGCTGATGAGCCCTGGGAATGTGGTCAAAATGACCTGAGAAGCACTGAGCCAAGCAACTTCCTAATTGTCTGTTTTAAGTAGGATTATTAATAGTACAGGAAACTAAAATAATTGGCATTTCTTGTAAACATGGCATTAGAGAGAGTCTCCTCTTTCTTACTTCCATCCAGAGAAATGGAATTTCACATCAGTGTTCATTTCCTAATCCAGTCATTTGGCCTGATGTGAATATCCATCAAAGAATTTAGACACAGCGCTCCTGATTGGAAAGAGAAACCCATTTTCCTGGCATTGTTGTTTTATTTCATAGTAGTTTAAGCATGTATTTGCTTCTTATATTAGCCTCTTCCTGTTGCTCATCATGAGACTCCTGAGCTTGTTAAGCACAGCTTTCTCTGCTGTATCCTGGGTCTTACAGGCTCCATCACAGTACCCTGAAGCAAGAGAGGATGGAGAAGCTCCTTAGGGCCACCTCTTATTCGATTTGAGTTGATGCTGCTCTGCCAGGGTTGTCCAGAGTCTGTCGTCTTTTCTAGCCAGAAGGAACACAGAGCTGGAATGTGAATTTTGACTTTGGCCTTCCCAGTGGCAAAGCAGTACCTGTCTCCTCACGGATGGGGCTGTTGACTTTCCATTTTAAGCAGTGACTTTTGGCAAATTGCATTGTCTGATGGTTTTGACACTTGCTGAGAGAATTTGCTGTATGCTTCAATAAGCATCAGTGTTCACTTTGTTCTTCCAATCTGTCTGATCTTTCCCTTCATTTTAAAAGACAGCGTTGCGAGCAGCTAAATATTTACTTATTAAAAATAAAATTCAAATACATAAAGCAACTGTGTGCATAACAATTTGTCCTCTTCCAGTATGAGCAGTGGAATGATAACACGGTGTCTTGGGGTAATTATCAGCTAATAATGTGTCTCCCTTAGTGTGAATAAGAAACAAATGAACGTTAGGCAACAGGGTGTTCGGTTTAGATGTGCTGAGTGAGACAGCAGAAGAATATGGAGTTCTTGGGGAGTTCCAGGAAAAGCTGAGGGTTTTCTGGTCGCTGCCTTAATAAAAAGAAGACTTTCAAACATGGAGGAGGGAACACAATGGCATTGTGGTGTGGTTGCTTCTCATTCCAGTTTTTGAAGCCAGACTGTGCCTTGGCTTTGCTTTTTAAAAAACAGAGCAAAAAATGCCAAACCCAGTCCTATACTGAAATATGTTTTTCCCTGTTACAATGCACGAGGAAAACGGGTCGAGGGCGTCTTGGGCAAAGTAATCTTTTAGAGTTGTCCTGCAGGGTTTCTAAGTGCTCTCCCATTTATGCACAAAAATCCAGCATCGAAGACCTTTCATAATTCCATCCTTAATTTGATTATTCACAGTACCGCCAACAGCACTGAGCACATTTAAAAATAGATGATTTCTAATCTTGCATCTTAGTTATACTGGCAGGACTGAGGGAGTTAGATTGTGATCTGTCTGGATGTGTTACTGATGTCGTGTCACCTGAACACTTCCAAAATGGAATATTGAGCTTCAGGATACTTTGGGCTTCTTGCTGTTTGTGTGCCTCAGTACCAGCTGTTTATGGGGAACCATAAAATGATATTGCAGACAGGAAAAAAATAGTAGTTCTTAAACTTAGTGACTCTTTGCCATAACAGCTTCAACTCCTGTTTTTCTTGCAGATAATCAGATTTGTAACAGCTACTCCTACGGAGTGAGAGCAGTTGTCCAGTGCATCCCTGCTTGGTTGCGATTCATCCAGTGCCTGCGCCGTTACCGCGATAACAAACGGGCCTTTCATCTGGTTAACGCTGGAAAATATTCCACCACCTTCTTCGTGGTGACATTTGCAGCCCTCTACAGCACTCACAAAGGTACTGGTGATTTTGGAGAATCCTTTGCAGCTCCTGGAGTTTGCTTTTTTTACGTGAGAGAAGCTCAGAGTCTGGCTTCAGTCCCGTTGAAGCGTGAGCTTCTTGTGTTTTGGCACCTGGGAGACATCTCTGGGGAAAGGCAGGGGCCTGCCCAGCTTGTAAAGAGTGTTTTAAGATCTTATTTTAGGTGGTTTTCACATCCTTGATCTGCTTAGAATTGCACTTAGGGAGCAGGGGAGGGAATTTTTAGGTTTCTCTTTTGAAAGCTGGAATACCTGTCAGGTTTTACTGTGAAGGGAAGTGAATGGGAGGAAGATATATGAGGAAAGGGATAGCACAGCAAATACTTCTCCCTTAACATTAATGAATATTTAACCTGGATCATCTAAATAATCGGTCCATCATTCCTTAATGTGAAGGCATGTGCACAGTGCCAGGAAAAAATGCTCTCTCTGATTTTCCTGTGTGATTCTATCCATGTTTTTTCTGCAGCTGGTAAGGAGTTGTTTCCAATCCATTTAACTGCAGATTGAGCTCTGATCCCTGAAGTTTCTCATCTCCCTGGAAACGACAATTACTCGATTCTACTCTTGTTCTGAAGGAAAAAGCTTTTAGTTTCTGCACTTCAGGCAGTCGCCCTGCCTTTCATTGTTCTGAAGCTGTAAAAGCTGTATTCTTTCGTTTGAGAATATCTCACTTCTATATATCCAGGAATTAGCAACCACACACAGTCGTGAGCAATTACTTAGCCTGGAATATTCCCGTGGTGAGGCAGGGAGAAGTGTTGAAGGCATGATTCTAGTTAACATGCTGGGCTTTTTGGAGGGGTGGCAGGGTTGTTAGGAGCCTTCCCATGGCCAAGAAATGTCTGTTTTGACGTAGTAGCCTGGAGTCACACTGATGATGTTTGTCAGGCCTTGCATTTTAATGGCAGGGAGGGGCAGTGGCCCAAGCTGGCTGAAGGCTGGGATTTGGGCTCTGTGTCCAGGGCTGCACAGAGAGCCGGTGTGGGAACATCCTCTGGGAGCATCCCCTGTGCATCTCCTCCCCGCTGCCACGTCCCTGAAGCTCGTTGCTGTTGTAAGTTGTTTGCTCAGTGACATTCTGCAGCCCTGCAGTCCAGTTAGTCACCACTGCCAGAGCCTGAGACGAGGCACGGGCAGAGTGCCTGGCTCCAGAGTCACTGCTTACATCTTCTGTAGCCAGAGCTGCGCTGGGGAGGCTGACTAATGCTTCTGCCTCCCTCGGGGGGGACACATTGCCAGAGCCTTCAGCTGGGCTAGGGTTGGAGGCAGGAGGAAAACCAACCTCTGTCAAAATGTCCTGTTGAAGAGTTTGACCTCTTCCCACCGCCCTTGAAGTTTTTGATCTGCACCGATGTTGCTACCCCGGTTCTGGTTGCTGCCACACATAACTGGTGTCCCCTTTCCCAGTCTGGCACGGAGTGGGCTGTAATGAGGTGTTTATGAGCCTTGTTCCAGTTGCTGTGAGACGTTCTTGACTCCCAGCTTTTGTCTGTCTAGTTTTGTCAATGGCATAAAAAAAAAATTTTGGAGGCTTCGTGGCCTTTGGAAATTACACGTTAGCACAGATTTGTAAATATCACTGTGCTGGGCTTTTCAGAGGGCTGCCTAAAGCCCTGGGTATGTTCCCTCAGGCCTGTAGGCCTGTTCCTATCCTGCCATAAGCACACTTTCTAGTGTGCTGTACCTGTTAAGAAGCCAATTTTATCGAAGTGCTTTGCATAGATTGCCAGTTTGTTTGGAACTTGGAATCAGATGGTCTGTCATCAAGCTGTTGTGATGCTACTGTTGAAAATAGATGTGCTGCTCACCCACACCTTCTCTGTGTCTGCCCAAAGATAGCAAACACCCCTCTCTTACCTCCTAAACATCTGTTGAGAGGAGCTGTGTTCCAAAGAAAGTGCTGCCCAAAACAGGTGTCAAACTGGTCAAGATCCTTTCTCCTCAGACCTGCTCCAAATTTCAGTAACGAACCTATTAATTGCTGTGGTATCAAGAGTTTTATTTAAACTGTCTTCCATGCCTGTGCTTGCAAGCCTATGACTTAGCCTCTGGAATGACAGCTTTTGGCTGCCACGAGAAGAGGGCAATCCCTGTCCTTTCCTTGGGATGTCAGGTAATGGACACCAGTGCCTGTTCTCTACTCGGGAGGCCTGGGACATCACAGCCCTCTGAGAAGTCTCATCTTCCTCCCTTCATTTGAACACTGGATCGTGTGTAGCTGCTCTGTTTTAGCTGGTGCCTGCCAGCAGTGTGAAGATGGACTGTGTGGCTGGGAGGGTTTGCTGGTGTGGAAAGCAGCTAATCCATACACAGTGCACTGACAGCACTCTGTGTTTTCCTGTGAATGCTGCTGGAAAACAACTCAAACTAAACAAGTGTACAAATGCCACCTTTTTATGTTTAAGTGATGTTTCTGTTCTAGTCTTGCATGGTATTCCCTACTCCAAACCTCCTGTAGTGAAGGATCCCCCCCCAGTAGCACCATGTACTGTGGGGTCTTGGCAAGTGTCTGTTTCCCTGAAGTCTCCCTGTTTAATAATTCATATTGCTCAGGCAGTGCATAATTCCGAGTCTTTCTTCCCTCAGAGAAGCCATTTCTTTACTTTCCTTCCCTTGGATTTAGATGCAGGCTGCAATTTTCTCTGCTAATTGCTGTTTGGATGTCAGACTGCTAAGACAGCAAAGTGAATTCTGTTAGGTTTTTGCTCCAAAACTTGCAATGCTGTTGGTCTGGGACCAGACCAGCTTTACAGGGGTAACTCCAAGCTGTCATCTTGATATTCAGGTATCACTGGGACTAGTGAAGCAAATTGGAGAGGAGCTACCCCAGAACTTAACACTGGAGCAAGCAGTGGTGGCATAGACGAGTGCAGACTCCAGCACAGCTCACAAACACAGCCACGTTTCAGGGATGACAGCAACAACACAAGGACAACTGTTGCTGAGTTCCCAGAGGAGGAATTCTCAGTATTTTTATCTGTCCCAAAGGAATGGGAAGCAAAGGCCGTGCTCTGTAAATATAGTGCTGCGGGGTGCATTTGCTCAGGCAAATGAGGCATGGCTGTAACTTGAAGCTGCCTGGCAACCGGGGTGCTGCCCCGCTCTGTCCCCTTCCTCCCCAGCCTTGCTTTGCACTAAGGAGCTCAGTGCTGGCATTAAGTTCCCTGCCAGTGCTGAGTAGCTTTCCCCAGAGCCAGCCAACAGAGTATTACATTGCCTTATTTAATCCCTACGGAAACCTGCATGCTGCTGGGGAAGCAGATGATTAAGCCCAAGCCTGCGGTGGAATATTCACCTCGAGTGTGGCGTTGTTTTGACACGCAGCTGCTTTCTGCTGTGTTTTCACTCTGCCAAAAGCAGATGTGCTTTGCTTAACGGGTGCACCAGTAAAGCAGCTCCCACTTCAGTCCAGCTTATCACAGCATTTGTAGAATCATAGAGTGGTTCGGCTTGGAAGAGACCTTTAAAGATGATGGAGTTCCAACCCCGTGCCATGGGCAGGGATACTTTACACTATCCCAGGTTGCTCCAAACCCCTCCAGCCTGGCCCTGAACACTTCTAGGGGCGTGTTCCACAGCTTCTCTGGACAACCTGTTCCAGGGTCTCACTACCCTCACAGGGAGGAACTTCTTCATAACATCTAATCTAATCCTACCCTCTGTCAGTTTGGAGCCGTATCCCCTTTGTCCTGTCACTCTGGACCCTTGTCCAAAGTTCCTCTACAGCTCTCTTTGAGTCCCTTCAGGCACTGGAAGGGTCTCTAAGGTTTCACCAGAGCCATCTGGATACCTTACCAAGCTGAACGCTCCCAGCTCTCTGTCTGTCCCCACAGCAGAGTGCTTCATATCCCTGAGCATCTTCATGGCCTCCCCTGGACTCACTCCAGCAGGTCCCTGTCCTCCTTACACCAAGGGGATCCCAGAGAAGGGCATCCCTACTTGTCTAAATTGTGCTTGCATTAAAGAAGGCACACTGGCATCTCTGGAATAGCCAGCTTTGGTTTCACTCCTCACTCAGACCTGGCTCAGGCTGTGTAGAATAGAGTTGTTATATTTAGGTGTTCAGCTCTTCTAAGAAACTGTTGTATTAATCAAGGAGTGCTGGTCGCTTACAAAGCTTTAGTCATGATTTATGCTCCAACTTTTTTCGTTTTAAAATGAGACATTGTGGTTTTGCTGCTGACAGTTTTCTCTCACCTCGATGCAGCTTACTCACATGGTGTCATTGGAAATACCAAAATACAGATTTGGCTTTTGTGCTTGAAGAACTGAGATTGTTGAGTGCCTTTCTTTCATAATTTTCTTGGTTTTTTGGGATTTACTGGTTTAGTGTGACTGTTTTTTCTGTTTGTTTTTTTTTTTTTTTTTTCAGCTTGCTATTGGCTGTGTGGAATTTTATCCTTTAACTGAAAGGCAGGATGGTTTATGGACATTGTCAGTTTGATTCACACACCTTATTCAATTAAATCCTTATGGTCTGAATAGTATCCTGCTATTTATTAACCTCTGAGTTATTCCAGAGTTAATCCATGTAGCCTGGAAACTTGAGTAAGCATCTCCTCTTCCATCCTGCTCCCATGATTATTCCAGGTACTCCAAATGACCCTGCTGAACACCAATTGTCATTGGCTTGGGGTGCCCTGGAGAACCCTAGGTCAGTCTAAGATAATGGAACTGCCATGCACTTTCTCATTAAACAGTCCAGGAAATTGACAGTAATTAAAAATATGGAAGTTAACTACATAGGGCTGTCTCTGAAGAGCTGTGCTTCTGTCTGTGCTCTCCCCATCACTTCAGAAGCAGGCTTCTCTGCAGTAATGTCTAATTTACGATTTTTAAAGGCAGCCCTAAGAGAAAAGGGCCAAGGAATAGAGATGTGGAATGTCAAGGCAAGAGCCATCCTGCAATTCATGGCTTTTGCAGGAAGGTGTTGGACCGTCCCTTATTGATAGAGACGTTCAACCAGGTGTGACC